TTGCTGCGCATGTTGTTTTACCACACTGTTGGGCTACATATTCGCAGTGTAGACAGTAGAGTATATGTGGATATGATTCCTCTACCGCAGATCGCAGTTTGAAGCTGTTAATTGAGTGACGCTGAGGATGCTGATGATTGAGTTTGCTGAAATAAAAGAGTGCATTACTATAGTAGGGGGGTAACGATACATTTTGTTTCGGTTCGGTTCGGTTTTCGGTTTTTGCTCTTCGGTTCGGTTCGGTTATTTTCAGTAGTAAAAAATTAAAAATCCTGAGAAGATGGGGAAAGTTTTCCTCCATTTTGAATAATAATAATAATACCTATCATAATATTATACATTTATTGTGTTATTCACTGGCCAAAAGACAATAAAGTAATACAGTTCAAGGATAATAGTCATAATACTATTCATTGAAGTGATCTACCTGACCAAAATAGACTATTAGACTTGAGATTAGACTCAGGGTTGAATGTATTTCTCGGAACCGAACCGAGAACCGAAACAAAAACAAAAAAACGAAAACCGAACAGAACGGGATGTACCGCGCGCGATACAGTTGAATCGCGGTTAATCGTTACACCCCTAATTACTAGTGAATGCTCATTCATTACAGAATCTTGGCTTGACTGTGATGTCGGATATGGAGGTGGATGCGCGGCCTTGCGTGAGCAGGGAGAGGCGATGGAGATACTACATGAGAACAGGTGATAGCAGCGAGAACGCATTACTTGTATGGAGAAGATATGACCACCTAGTAATCGTGAAGATTGGCGACTTGTAAAATTGTTACAACTTTTTTACATTTTTTTTTTTAAATTGCAGAAAAAGGTTAGGGGAAGGTCGGATAAATGTAGAAGCCAGGGAATATTTGAGGGGGGGGGGAACAGCAAACCCAAATAAGGTGACCTCTCTGTTATAACAATTTTGAACTAATGTTCTACAATTATTATAATTATCGGGATATACTAGCTATTATAATAACAGTTGTGATTTTGGAGTGAGTTATATGTTCTCTCCATACCTCTCCAAAAAACAATGAAGACGATGACAGTAAATATGATGATGACGATGATGATGACGATGATGATGACGATGATGATGATGATGATGATGATGATGACGATGATGATGACGATGATGATGACGACGATGATGATAGCAGTAGCGATATCACAGGCAATAAGAAACGGAATCGGGCAGGTTCGCGTGGCCCTGGCAGTGCCGGTGGTATTCAACCGATGCCAATGGCTGCTCCCGGACCGGAAGTCGTAACCATGGAAGTGGATTATGATAATGATGGGGGTCCTGAGGAGAGCTCCACCACTGCTGCTGAGCAAGACATAAGAACATACTTCCCAGAGACGTGGTTGTGGGATCTGTACAGATTGGAGTAGGTTGAACGTTACGTGCAATATTGCCACGCGTGTGGCCACATAGCTAGTTTTTTGCTGAACAGCTGCTTGATTAGAATATATAAGCTCATTTAATATATATAGATGTTTTTCTATAATTGGCAGCAGCAAGCAAGCCTATATAGTCTAGCCTATAAAGCCAGTATAGCCTAATCATAGTAAGGGTGATAGCTTAGTGGTTAGGTATAGCACTAGCCGTAACAGCAAGCAACAACCCAGAATGGTATCGTCGTCAATCATCATCCATTTACATCTCACGCCTTCGTGGCGGGCTGATATGTAGCAGGAGTGAACGATAATAGATTATCTTCCTCTAGAAATAGGTTATCATCATATTATTATTACACTCTCTATAGTAGCTGTAATCAAGAGACTAGCCATAGTAGTCGAGATTCTCTCTCCCAATGCCACACACGCCACGATTTTGATGGATTGCGTGTGGGTTAGAACTTTAGCTGGCTGCTGCTGTAGATTACAAACAACCAACCACAGGCTAAGGATACACGTAGTCTGTCACGTAACCTTGCAGTGATTCTCCAGGGCACACGCGGCTGGCGTGGAGATCAAGGCTCCTCCCCCACCTGCACGCTCAGCACTCTATCTATGTGAGCGCATAATCTATGCTATCAATCTTTCTATTTTTCCATCTACTATCTATCTATCTATCTATCTAACCACACCAAATCCACTAATTCGTCGGTGTGGGCATTGGTCAGAGAATCTCTGACTAATAGCCATAGCGCAAGCAATGCAACCGCAGTAATGATATCATCGTCATCAATCCACTCACAGTCTCAGGCTTCGTGGCGGGATAGTAGTGGTTATGTTAAGTAACACTATAGCCTGAACAGCAACAAGGCACCGAGTATCGATCGTCATCACCATCAGTATCATTCACCGCTCTCAGTGGCTATTTCCTCGCAGCCACTTCGGTCAACGTGGACGTAACCACGGAGGTCCGGACACGATCAACGGTAACTGGGTGAGGCGGCGGCTATTGCACGGAGCGTGGATGGCAGGGGTTCGGTGTTTCCCCCACCGCCTCTCTCTGCGCGCCTCCAGCCGTTCTTTCAATCTCCTACACGCTGCCCCTACTCCGGCCGTGCGCAAATGACGCAATCGTCTGCATGCGTCTCCGTGCTCACTATCTCTCCGACTCTCTCACGTAGGTCGCCGTCGTCCGTTCGTTTTGCGTTTTCCTGGGATTACTCAGCGAGGAGCTGCAATGTTCAAGTAGCAATGAGAAACAGAATAATTTCTACATAAAACACGGAAAGTAGTTTAGTAATAAACTTGGCGATTTATTTAACAGTACACTTCATTCTCATCATGTGTTATATGTTATGTATATATATTATATATATTCTATATATATATATATATATTATATATAATATATATATATATAAATTTAGTAATATATATCATGTGTGGTATGTATACTATTGTATGTTGTATGTATGATGCTATGAATTATCGTATGTATGTAGTATGTAAGTGTATTAGTAGTAATGTATTGTATGTATGTATGTATGGTAAGGTATGTATGTATATATGTAGTACTAATGTATGTATGTAGTATAGTTATGTAATGTATGTATGTATGTATGTATGTATGTATTATGTATGTATGTATGTATTGTATGTATGTATTATGTATGTATGTGATGTATGTATGTATGTATGTATGTATGTATATATATTTATATTTATATATATATATATGTATATATATATACGTGTTTTTCATTCAGATTGAGCTTACCCTTGAGGACTCGGATGCGTTTGAGGTGTTCAGCGACAAGCAGGTGGCGCTGTGTGCCAGCGGCGGAACTGCGACCACGCACCGGTAAGGTTCTCCATTCACGTGGCTCACTTAGCCGTGTAGCTCCAATCACGTGGTTCACTTAGCCGTGTAGCTTCAATCACGTGGCTCGCTTAGCCGTGTAGCTAGACATCAAGTGCTCGGTTAGCGTGTGCTCCAACCGGCTCCTTAGCCGTGTAGCTCCAATCACGTGGCTCGCTTAGCCGTGTAGCTCCAATCACGTGGCTCACTTAGCCGTGTAGCTTCAATCACGTGGCTCACTCAGCCATGTAGCTCCAATCACGTGGCTCACTTAGCCGTGTAGCTCCAACACACACGCGTGACTCTCATAGATGTATATATAGAACTAGGTGTTTTACGTTCATTAGTTCATGTAGAATCCTTGGTGAGATGGTTGCTGTTGTGTTCAGCTCATCACATAAACACGCCTGTTCTATTCTAATATTTGCACAGGCAACATTTTTCATATGCATAATATGTTATTCATGGGTAATAATGTCAATTAACATGTCATTATTAACCCCTGCTGTTAATATATAGTCGTGTGTACGGTAGTTTTCTTAAAAGAGCAATGCTATAACTTGTGCAACAGTTTGCATGCACATGTATCTATACAACGTGTGTTAGCGTTGTATACAAGGGTAGCTGTTACAGTGTGTTAGCGTTGTTGCTACTGTTGCTAGGTACATGATCAGACCGCAGCTGCTGGGAGAAGTCAACGTCACCGTGCACGCTCTATCGCTCCCGACGACAAACCTCATCTGCGGCAACGAGGTCGCCATGAGCGAGACGGGAGCGGGCGTCCGTGACGCGATCACGCAGCGCCTCCTGGTGGAGGCGGAGGGAGTCGAGAAGGCATACTCGGTCAGCATGTTCGCTTGTCCGCACCGCGAGAGCGGAGGCGTCTTCACCGACGTCATGGATCTCGCTCTACCCTCCGAAGACCTAGTCCCAGGTATAGCGCCCCCTTCTGGCCACGAACAGTAACCGTAACCGATGCCCCGATCAATCATCGTAAATGACCAGGGCTTGAAATTTATGAGTAACCCATATCTCCGCTCAAATCCGAATAATACTATATATAATACTATATAATAAATAATATCTCCTATATACTATTTATATTTATTAATCTATATCTATATGTCTCTATATATATATATATAATATATAAATATATATCATATATATCTATATATATATATATAATATAATATATATAGACAGATAAATAGATATAAATATAATAATATCAGATAATAGTATATTTTTTATTTATATATATTATATATACATGTGGTGGAGTTTGTGTGTTGTTGACAGACTGCGGGCCGTTGGTAAAAAAACAAGTTTGTTTATGAAAATCAAAAAAGTATTGTCAAAACTCGACTAATCATTAATGCTGTTGATGTTGATGTTGACGTGTGTGTTGTTGTTGACAGACTCGGGCCGCGCGACCGTGTCGGTCATTGGCGACGTCATGGGGTCCGCGCTGCAGAACCTGGACGCGCTGCTGACCATGCCGTACGGCTGCGGCGAGCAGAACATGATCACCTTCGCTCCGGACATCTACATCATGCAGTACCTGACGGCCACCGGTCAAGCGACGGACGCAATCAGCAAGAAGGCCCTCACCTACATGCGAGCCGGTGAGTGCTGGTGTCGCCCCCTAGTCACATCACCGACCACAGTGCCACCTGGCGGGCGAGTTTGTAATCACCGATCACGTCCCATTTCGCTCGTGCGATATTTTTTCCCCGACCGATTTTTTTCTGCAGCGTCCGAAGCGTTGAGTCAGGCAGCCATCTGACCGTCCGGCGATTGACCCGCAGGCCAATTTATTAACATATGAAATAATAAATTATAAAATTAACTTGTTGAGCCGTTTCTCCCGCAGGCTACCAGAGGGAGCTGACGTACCGGCACGATGACGCCGCCTATAGCGAGTACATATAATTGTAAAATACATAAACTGCAAAAATACATACGTAAATAATAAAATTAACTTATCGAGCTGTTTCTCCCGCAGGCTACCAGAGGGAGCTGACGTACCGGCACGATGATGGAGCGTACAGTGCGTTCGGTAACCGTGACAAGGAGGGCAGCATGTGGCTGACGGCGTTTGTCGTTCGCAGCTTCGCTGAGGCCCGGCCGTTCATCTTCATTGACGACGCGCAGATCGCGGCGAGCGTCGAGTGGATCGCGCGTCGCCAGGGCGAGGACGGCTGCTTCCCTGTCGTGGGGACGTTGCATCACAAGGGCATGAAGGTGAGAGCAGAGACGGGGATGATTCCTAGGGGAAGGTGAGAGCAGAGACGGGGATGATTCCTAGGGGAAGGTGAGAGCAGAGACGGGGATGATTCCTAAGGGAAGGTGAGAGCAGAGACGGGGATGATTCCTAGGGGAAGGTGAGAGCAGAGACGGGGATGATTCCTAGGGGAAGGTGAGAGCAGAGACGGGGATGATTCCTAGGGGAAGGTGAGAGCAGAGGCTGGGATGAT